CGATTGGGTTTTGTGAACAGGTTTCACTGGACAGGAGCTATCCCTTTTGGCAGAGCTCTGAGAAGAGCGAGAGAGAAAAATAAACACACAAAGAGATGCAAAAGCAAACAGATAAACAAAAACATCTTCCCTGCGATGCACTTGATCATCTCATGCCTTTTGCTCAAGAAGAAAAATAACACACTGACTCCATCTTCAGTCAATAGAAGCTGTGGTGTCTGCCAGGGTTCGCCCGTGCCCGGCTCTGCCCCACCCTTCGGGTCTCCCTCGGGTTGTCTACACACAGGGCGTCTCTCAGGACACCCTCGGTGGCCAACACCGTGTGTGCTCAGAAGGCACCAGGGACCAGGTGTGGCGTGCACAGAGCCAGAGCCCAGGCCAGGAAGAAGAACCTGCCTGCTGGCGTCTCAATCCAGGCAGTCTCCACTCCTGAGACAGGTGAAGTTAAGACCAGGTGGAAATCATTTCAGCTGCCAACAATCGGCCAGAGGGTTTAAATTCCTCAGAAAGGAGGACGGTCTTCTAAGCGTGGTCCTCCTGCCAAGGCAGAGTCCAGAACCCCACCCCACGCTGCGAGACCAGACTCAGGGGATGGGACCCAGGAATTCTTGCAGAGCTTTCTGAGACAAAACCTTTTAAACCAGAGATACTGTTTTAGACTTCCTCAAGCTCCCCACAGCGCCTAGCATGGTGCCAGATGCAGAGCAGGTCTTCCAACAGTGCTCGTTGGAGAGCAAGGCAAATCCCATGCAGTCAGGGGATGGTTCACATCATTGTAACAGAATCGTGCCGTGTCAAACATAAATGGCAGTGAGTAGAACTTCAGCTAGAAAATTATTCATACATATCTCTTGGTTGTAATTCATTATGTCTTTTAATATATAAGATGGCTATTATAATTTAGGGAATAGATTTTTAATAAAAGGCAAGGTATGGCATCTATCATTTTAAAAACGATGCTAAAACTTTAAAAATATTGCAATTGTGCGCCATTAAGACAGTCAATAAAGCAATCACTGGGAATTTTATTTATTTGCACTCAAAATGAAAATTTCCCTCTTCCTCCAAAAAGAACGGAGATTACTTATAATGACAACAGGGGTACGACAGTGGAGAAGGAAAAATGGATTTACCCAAATCAAACGCTAAGCTGCAATAGCCAGCTCCTGTTGTTAGCAGTCAGTGGGGCAGTGGCATGCTCTTCCAAGGACTCGGAGGAAAAAACATGCTCTGGGAGGACAGCCACACTCTTAGTGCGTAATCCTCTAATAGCACAGGAGACAGTGACACACCCTGGGAGCATGCAGAGGGACTGTGGGCTGGAGGAAGCTGGCATCAGACGTGCACGGGTTAGGCGAACGCGGCTCCGCAGGGAGGGGAGGTAAAGTCTGAGAGGCAAAAGCAAGCCTCCAGGAGCATTTTCTCAGCTGGGCAATGAGAACATGTCAGAATTGCCGTGGGGTAGCTGAAACATCCTTCAAGAGAGCTGTCTCCCTGTGCCTCCATCCCATGCTCACTAAGCAACTTCCGATTACTGTTTCTGCTTCCTATATATCTCGACATCGGGACAGAGGTTTCCATGGATCAAAGACAGGAACACGCTGGCGGCTAGAGAGGGATCATTGCCATTGCGGGTGCCTTGATTCGTGTTCTGATGAATCCATAAGGTAGCACCAGCCTGATAAGACGGGGGTCAGCTAATAAAGTCCAGCTTCTGTCCCTGCAAAGCGAAGGGTGGGGACTGCACAGCGCCGAGTCTCTGTCCCTCCCCCAGCTGGCCCGTCTACTTATGGACACTCCCTGGCCTCAGTGTTAGCCCCTGGTCCCCATCAAAACCTCGAAGTCCGTGACCAAATCAGTACATTTTCCTAGAGCTTCCAAAGTGGCCCAGACAAGAAGAGAAACCGTGGAGGGAAATGAATCTTCGTTACTGATCAAAGAACGCGTTGCAAAACAGTATTAGGAGACCGTAAATCCTATTTCCGCTTGCCACCCGTTTCTCCTAGGGAGAAAAAGACTTACGAATAAGAGATTGACATGGTTTCGTCCAAAGGGAAAGCAGGTTTTTCAAAAGAGTTTTTAAAAGACGAAACATTCTTCTCAGCCTTAACCCCAGGGCCAGCCCCAACAGAATTTCGCTGAACAAAATCAGGCACCTCCCCCTCCCTGCCAGCTATTGTCCCCACTTTGTCTCTACAACAGGCGCAGTGGAAGAGTTATCTGCACTGGCTGCCTCCAGTGGGTCCCCTCCCTTCACCCCTGGAAGCTCTCCTGCCACTTCCCTGCCCACCCTGCGCTGACAGCTCTGGTCAAGGTCACCATGGGCTCCACATCGCCAACTCCTCCTCCTGTCCCTCTGCCTTTGTCTCAGTGGCTCACGTTCTCCTTGAAACGCTTCCTGTGCTTGGTTTGAGGCCACCGCCCAGCCTCCCTCTTTCCTCTCGGCCTTCTGTTGGGGGCTGCTCCCCCCCAGTCTCGCAGGCGGGCGCTCTGGGGCTCACTCTGCAGCTGCTCTGTCTCGGGCAGCTCAGCCAGGAGGACAAGTTCAGACGCCAACTGTCTTCCTAGGACGCCCACATTCCGGGCGTCATCTCTGCTTCCCTCGTGGGACCTCTACTCCCAGCCAGCCTGGCTCTCCCTCGGCCCATTCCACACGAGACTGAGGGTCCCTCGAAGCCACACGTCACATCTCGCCATTCTTTCGCTTCAGAGCTTCTAAAGTTTCCCCAACACTTGCCGACCAAACCCTGTGGCCTCCAAGGATGGAGACCAAACCCTGTGGCCTCCAAGGCACATCCTCCAAGGATGTGCCTTTTCCCCTGCCTGTGGCCTCCTCTCCACGGCCATCCCCCCGCTCACTGCTCCGTGGCAGCCTCGCCTTCCCGCTCCGCCCTGGACGGGCCAGCCTGGATCCGTGTCAGCCCGTGGCCTCCGCCCAGCGCCCCTTCCCCGGATCTTCACGACGCGGCCTCGAGTCCCTGCGACACGGCCTGCCCTGAGACTCCACGCCCGCTCCGACCTCACGGAGCTCTGGGCACGCTCACACTGTCCCTTCTGGGAACTGGCCACTCCCCGGAGCTCTAGCACGCGCTGGCCCCTCCCGGCCTCTGCCCCGGCAGACCGCGCGCACGTGTCTCGGTCCTGCCTGCACCGCCAGGCCCAGCGCGCACGACGCGGCTCGCTTGACCGCGTTGCTAGAACTGCGAGCTGGCGCCTGCACGGGGGTCAAAGGGAGTCTTCCACTGGCCGTGTGCAAAGTCCTTGTCATTTTTATCAATATATAAAAATGGACAGTGGAGAAGTTATAGTGTTTTCCTATTACAAACATGCCTAAATATACAAACTGATCACTTTTAAAGATAGCCATCTACCTTAGAAACAGAGAAAAGCATATTTGTTTCGTATTTTAGGAACTTGGCTTCTGAGGTCCCAATCACGCTATTTCACAAACATGTTTAATGAATCGGGAACTTGTTGCGAGTACTTAGTGTAGCAGAGAAAGCCACCAGATAAATAGAATGTAAATTATTTTCACAATGAAAGTGTCCTTGTCCTTGCTCGTTGGTGAGTAAGGATGCTATGTTTCATTGTGATGGTAAGTTACTAATTTGGCAGCTGTATTTATCAAGAAAAGCGCCTGGCCGAACTTCAAAAAATAAAAAGGGGAAAAAAATACAGAGTGCCTAAAAAATTCACAGAAGGTCACGTCTGTATCCCCGGCTCTATCCTGACACGGAGAAGTCCCGGGACTTTCCCAATCACGGGCAGTTTTCCCGGCCGCTTTGCCCGCGAGGCCCCAGCCCAGAACCTCGGGAGAACTCGGGGAAGGGTGGAGCAGTGTGGAGGGGGGTGGAGCAGTGTGGAGGGGGGTGGAGCGGTGTGGAGGGGGGTGGGGCAGTGTGGAGGGGGGTGGAGCGGTGTGGAGGGAGTGGACGGTGGTGGAGGGGTGGAGCGGGTGTGGTGGAGGTGTGAGCGTCTTGTGGAGGGTGGGGGCAGTGTGGGGGCGGAGGGGTGAGCGTGTGTGGAGGGGTGAAGCGTGTGGAGGGGGTGGTGTGTGTTGTTGTGTAGGGTGGAGCGGTGTGTTGTTGTGTGGTGTGTTGTGTTCTGTGTGAGGGTGTGTGTTGTTTGTGGAGGGTTGGTGAGCTTGTGTGTGAGGGGTGTGTGTTTATGTCTGGTGTGTGAGTGTTGTGTTGTGTTGGAGCTTGGTTTGTGGTGTTGTTGTGTGGTGGATGTTTTGTGTGTTTTGTGTGGGGGATGGAAGCTGGTGTGGAGGGGTTGGAGCCTTTTTGTTGTGGAGGGGGTGGAGCGGTTGTGGGGAGGGGTTTCTTGTGAGCGGTGTGGAGGGGGGTGGAGCTGGTTGGATGTTGTGTGTGTTGGTGGAGCGGTGTGTGTGGGTGGCAGCGGTGTGGAGGGTGAGCGGTGTGGTGGTGTGTGTGAGCCGGTGGTGTGTGTGTTGTGTGTGTGTGTTGTTTGGTGTGTTGTGTGTTGTGTTGAGCGGTGTGTGTGGGGGTGGAGCGGGTGGAGGGAGTTGGAGCGGTGTGGGAGGGGCGGTCTGTGTGTGTGTTGTGGGAGGGGGTTGTGAGCGGTGTGGATAGTGGGGTGGAGCGTGTGTGAGGTGGTGGGATGCGTTTGTGGTGTGTTGGTGAGCGGTGTGGAGGGAGGTGAGCGTGTTTTTTGTGTTGTATGTGGTGTTGGTGGAGCGGTGTGTGAGTGGGGAGCGGGGGGAGTGTGGTGTAGCGGTGTGGAGGGGGGTGTGAGCTGTTGTGTGGAGGTGGTGGAGCGGTGTGGAGGGGGTGGAGCGGTGGAGGGGGTGGAGCGTGTGGAGGGTGGAGCGTGGTGGCAGGGGGGCGAGCGCGTGGAGGGGGGCGGAGCGGCGTGGAAGGGGGCGGAGCAGTGTGGAGGGGGGTGGAGGGGGGTGGAATAGTGTGGAGGGAGGTGGAATAGTGTGGAGGGGGGTGGAACAGTGTGGAGGGAGGTGGAACGTCACGGCGCCTTTTTACCTGCCGCGTTGCCGCCGTCCGGGGTGCCTTCCGCCGGGTCACCGCTCGTCTGCTCCCGGGGGTCTGTCCTCTGCAGAGCCAGCAGCGCCCGTGCTCTGCCGCCACCTTGCCGTGGGAAGGGGAGGCAGCTGGCTGCAGAGAGCAAGAAGGATCTGGCGTGAGTGTGAGGCTCTGCTGAAGGCGGCCTCATAGTGGGGAGCAGGGCTTGCCCTGGAAGTTTCCGGGCTCACATAGAGTAGAGTGCGACCAGGGCTCCAACGGGCGGCGTGACTCAGGGTAAACAAAGGCAGGCTGACATCAGACCGGGGGCGCACACACACAGGCCCGCAGGTAAGCCCAGCTCTGCCCCACCGAGCCCGAGTCTAAGGGGCGGGAGTGCACTTTAGCCAGGACACCTGCTTCTGGCCTGGGTCTGTCCCATGCGCTCTGAGAGTCGGCCTGCCCTCGCAGGTTTCCCGAGGGGGTTTCGGTCGAGCCTGCACCGTCTAGAGCAAGGGGCCTCAAGCATTTTAAACAGGGGGCCAGTTCGCTGTCCCTCAGACCGTCGGAGGACCGGACTATAGTTTAAAAAAAAAAAAAAAAACTATGAACAGATTCCTATGCACACCGCATGTTATCTTATTTTGACATGAAAAAACAAACGGGCAAAAACACCCGCATGCGGCCCGCGGGCGGTAGTTTGAGGACGCCTGCTCTAGAGCCTCGGACCAGACCCAAAGCGCAAGGAATGTGAGCGTGAGGATCTCCGCGAAGGGGCTTGCGGAGATGGGGAAGAGGAGACGTGGAGGGGAGGAGCTAGAGTCAGCCCGACGCCCGGGCTGCTGGTCCCAGCCCTCTGCTGCCCGCCGGCGACACAGAGAGGTGAAGGGCCCACAGTGGCCACCCGTGGAGTATACAGGATGTCAATGTTTCTTGCAAATATTAAACACCTGTGACAGGTGTCATCGAGCAGGTGCCTCCGATGCTACCTGACCGCCCCTGGGATGGAGACTAAAGCTCACCCACACGCCCTGCAGCCCGCCATTGGTGCTGAAGCATTTTGCAGCAAGCTACGGAAAATACAGTCCCAGGCACGACCGTGTCTCCCAGATGGGTCTGGGAGCCGGGGTCTGACGGGTGGACCGGCACAGCCCCCGGGCTGCTCGCGGGGGGCGGGACCTGCGCTGCACGGGGGGCGAAGGGCCTGGGCTGGACCCGGATTCCCCCCATGTCCCCCCTCCGCTGTGGAATCTCGGGTGTGGCTACCACGGGTCGCCAGGTTCTCCCCGGGCGTATCCGCCCCACCTGAACAGCGGGGGCCGCTCTGCTCTCCACAGCCTGCCCGGGAGTTCAGTGTGACATTAGACACAGGCTCGTGGACCCCAGAAGGCCCCCCTTGCCTTCCGCACTGCGGTGCCACCTGTGCTCTGAGGCTGAACAAGGACAACGGTCAGCTCTAGCAGGAAGGCCTGCGGACGTCGCTGCGCCCGGCGTGGGTTCTCTCGCAGATTGCACGGAGCCCCGGTGCCCGGGTTCGAGCCTCGCATCCCAGGCTGCGGCCTGCAGACACCGGACCCAGGAGATGGCCCGGGAGTCCTCCGGACCATTTAGGAAGAGTGAGGGTCCCTCTGACCCTGGGGCACAGAGCCTCCACGACTGCCGCACACTGTTTGTTTATTACTGATTTGGTTTATGCAACTCGCAATACGATCGCTTTATAGCATTTCCTTCTCTTCCTCTTTTTTCTCTGAATCCACTCCTGCTCACGGCTGCTCCAGGATTGAAGCGAGGCCCCTTGGACCTCCGGGGAAGCGGGTCCAGCTGAAACGGAGTGTCCTCCTTGTCCTTCAGTAGGGAGGGGGCAGCCACTGCACGGGGGTCGCAAGCAGGTTCCAAAGGGCTGGGCTCGAGGGAAAGACGCTGGGCTGCAGGCGCACCCCCGAGGCTCCGGGAGCGGTTTCGCGGCAGGCGGGGACCGCGCCGCTAGCAGAGGGGGCCGGCGCCCTGGGTTTGGGCGCGGAGCGGAAGCGGTGAACCCTGCGGAGGGAGCACACGGCCACCCCTGCCCACGGCGTCCGGGCAAAGAGGGGACCGGTGCAGGCAAGAATCCCATCGCCCGGAAAAGTAAGGGGGAGGAGACGCACGTGGTGGTTTTGAGCGTCTGAGTGAAATGAAATATCTGGGAACCAAAGTCTTTTCTTTTTAATGACTCTTCTTGATTTTATTTTTTTAAAAAAAGAATTACTTGTTAAAATCGTGGTAGGATATGCGTAACCTAAAACGTACCATTTTGGCCGCTTTGAAGCGTCGGGTTCTGCGGCGTTAAGCACGCTCAGGTCTCTCAGCCACCACCGCCGTCCACCCCGGAGCCTCCGTGTTGCAAGACTGGACCGCTGGCCCCGTTCCCCGCCAACTGACCTCCCCACCTCAGTCCCTGAAAACCTGTTTCCCTTCCCGTTTCCATGAATCGGACTCCTCTAGGTACCTCCTATCCGCAGAACCACGCCGTGTTCGTCTTTTCGTGACTGCCTTATTTTACTTAACATCACGTCCTCACGATTCATGCATGTGGCAGCGTGTGGCAGAATTCCCTTCCTTCTAAAGGCTGAATAATGCTCCCTGCGTGCACATGCCACAGGTTCCGCATTCACTCTCCCTCGGGGGGACAGGTGGGTTGCTCCTACCCTGTCGCTATGGCGAACAAAGCTGCCATGGACTTGCTGTGAGACATCTCCCCGGTCCCTGCCTTCGTGCATGCAAGTGGAACCGCCGGACCATGTAGCGATTCCGCGTTTAATCTTCTGAGAAATCACCACACTCTCCTTCAGCGGCTGCACCTTCTCACACTCCCGCCTGCAGTGCACGAGGGCTCCGGGGTCCCACATCCTCACCCACTCTTGCTGGTTTCTGTTGTTTGTTTGTTTGTTCTGATGATAGCCACCCTGACGGGCGTGGAGCACTACCCCACTGTGGTTCTGGCACTTCCCTAACGATGACTGGGGCCAAACATCTTTCCACGTGCTTCTTGGCCATTCCTATATCTTCTTTGGAGAAATGTCCATTCAAGTCCTCTGCCCATCATAAATCGGGATGTTTGGGTCTTTTCTGTTGTTAAGTCATAAGAATTCTTTATATTATATAATCTAAATAGCAGCCCCTTATCAGGTATATAATTCATGAATATGTTCTTCCATTTCATGGGTTTCCTTCTTGCTTTGTTGGTGGTGCCCTATGACACACAAAGGCATTATGTCGAAATTCACCTCATTCTTTTGTTGCTTGGGCCTTGGTGTCATATCCAAGAAATCATTGCCAAGTTCAATGTCAGAATGCTTTCCCTCATGTTTTCTTCTAAGAGTTTTATGGTTTGCATGCTTACTTTTAGGTCTTGGGTCTATTTTGAGCATTTTTGAAAATGTGGAGCACTCCATAAATTTGTGTGTCATCCTCCTGCAGGAGCCAGGCTAATCTTCTCTGTGCAGTTCCAATTTTAGTAAGTGTGCTGCCAAAGCGAGCACTAAAGAAAACTCTTGGGGAAAAAATGCATTATTATAAATATACGACAATAAATTTTGTGTATGACACACTCTCCCCACCCCCAGGAGAAACGAAGGGTTTATGCCTCAGGGAAACAAAGGCAGAGAGACTCAGACCCACTGTGCACAGGGAGGGGGAGCAGAGCTGGGGCTCAGCGAGCGGCAACACACCCTGCGGCCGGCTGGGGGCTCCCCCCAACCCATCACCCAAGCTGCCCTGCAGTCCTGCTCCTGGGACGTGTGCACCACCCAGGCACACCCTCCCGCCCTCCCTCACCCTCCCTGGAGGTAGGAGAGGTTTGCCTGCAGGACCTGAACTGGGCCAAAGAGAAGACGCACGGTTCCTGAACGTTGGGGGGCCGTCTCCCCACACAGTCACCCCACAGCAAGCTCCCCAGGCAGTGCTCCCTGACCGCCCTCCGCCCCAGCAGAGCTCCCGCCTGCCCTGCAGCGCCTCGCTCTTCAATGGGAGAGAGACTTGCAAAGAGGCCACGCAGGGAGGAAAAAGTGTTATTTACACCACAATATTCTCAGGGGGAAAAGAAAAGATGCTGCATTCATACTGCAAAGAATGCTTTAAAAGGAACAACTGGAGAACAATGAATTTTTTGGAAATTAAAAACGGAACACTAAAACTTTTAAAAGCCAACAAAGAGCTTGAGGGATAGAATGGAAGGAATCCTCCAGAAGATAGAAGAAAAACACGAAGACGGCAAAAGGAGAGGCAACATAAGAAAATGTGAGGATTAATTCAGCACAGGAAAAAGAAGAAGCCACTGGGGAAAATACATCATTAAAGAAGCAGCAGGAGAATCACCCAGAACTGCAGCACACAGCTGTCCATGTCGAAGGCCAGGCCACCTGGGCAGGGCGAGAGATCTGAAGGGGCTGGCGGCACGGCTCGCCGACCGTAAGCCCGGGGAGTCTAGCGGCAGGGATCCGAGAGGGAGCCCAAGAGCCCAAGAGCCCCGGCGGATCAGAGGCACGAGGACTCAGACAAAAACCGAGCTTCACCTGGAATTCCGCACTCGCTGAAAATATGATGGAGGGAAGACTTTTCAGACATCTCGTCTCCAAATACTCACTCCCAGGTACCCTTTGCCGGGGAGCCACCAGACGACATGCGCTGCCCGAATGCGGGTGCGGACCAAGGACGAGGAGAGCCGTGAAGGCAGAGACTTCCCGGAAGAGAATTTGGTGTGGCTAAAAAACGGAGCACACGAGAAAACAAGGCTAATGAATGGCAGAGAAAATAAAAATTGCACGAGGAAAAAAAGTGGAATTCCAGCACCCTCTGTGGCTCAGGCGTGAGGGATATTTGCACGGGCCAAATAGCGCAGGTGCCGCACCTTCAACCAGCAGCCGGGAACACGACACGCTCAGCTCAGCGCTCGGGGCAGTGGGAAGTACGTGTGTGGGGAGGGGGTGCCTGTCCTGTGACAGGAACTCAACAGAAAACGCCTAAAAAGTCACCAAGAAACAGGGATGTGATACATTATCTAGAAAAAGTACAATAAGATATGTGAAACAATAGAAATAAGAGGCTCGGGAGTGGCTGCTTCTTGGGGCAAGACAGAAGGATGGGGAGGGAGGAGGGGATGCTTCTGTATTTTGTTC